AAATCCACAGCTTATCAACTACAAAAATCTAATTAGCGAAGCAAGAAAATGCTGAAGACACAAGTTAGTCACATAATGCATCATATATATCGAAAATCAACGCCAACCCATCATCATAATTTTCCATATTTTCCCAGAAAAGATTAATTGAGAATGGGATAGAAAATCAAATTACGCATCAGTTGATGTCTTCATCATCGAAATCATCCTGGAAAGAATTGAAGAATCCGGCATCGGCAAGGCGGTGGAGGTCCAAGATGGGACCCTCTCCGAACATATCCAAGGAAGAGTCGGCGTCGTCCACCTCCATTGCCACTGTGACGCTGTCGCTTTGCTCCCCAAAGTAGTCCATAGAGACTGTCATTATTATCGTCGTCTGCCTCTGATTTTTTCATCCAAAATCTAGGTCATGAGGCGTCTGTTGTCTCTAAGGCGCCGGTTGTCCAGATCGTTCGTAGACCCTTAACCGAGTCCCCGCCTCCGCCACAGATCTGAAATGTTGCCAAATCTTAACAGACAATCGTCACACCAAAAAGTCGCATTCGCCGGTCGCCGAGCCGCTCTCATGTCCTCATCGATTGCCGCCGCTCACGAGCCAAACCTGTCGGCTGTCTCCGCCTTCAAACGCAATCGCACCGCCGTACCGGTGCTGCCGTTGGGATGCTTCATAGACAGGTGAACCTTGTTATATATGAATCTTTCTTTTATCGTTTCTGAAAAAGGAGAAACTTTCGTCTACTGATGGACGTTGGTTGCATCAATCGTTTCTATGGCTATGTAAATTTGTGGAGATGTGTTTTTTTTTCTTTTCATATACGGGAGAATATAATGGTATAGGTAGTTTTTCGATCTCGGATGATCGATGTGATTATATTAACGAAGATACCAGTATGGTATGTGAACCATTCATATATTTTGTACAGATTTTATTGACTGTTTTAATTCGAAATTCAAATAATGACCGCCAATTCTAAAAAAAAAAATCAAAAAAGATTACTAAAAAAAGTAAAAATGAAATATTTTGGCGGGATTTCTATATCTATTTCAGGTAAATGTCAAACCTTTTTATATTTACTAGTACGAATCCCGTGCTATGCACGGTAGGAGATATTATTAGGGAGATTAGATACCATATAGTAACACCTTTCTAGTTCTTATATAAATTATTAAATATTTGTTTATTTTGGTTCTATTTTCTTTAACTAATACGAATCATGTGCTATGCAGGGGTAGGAGATATATATTAATATATATAAATTAAAAATACACATTAAATAATATTTATAACTTAAAAATATGGAATCAATTGTAATACAATTCACCTATATTAAATTTATTGAAAATATTATATGAAATTTAAATTGTGCAAAATTATAAAAAACATGTCTATTTAAAATTAGTACACAACTCGTACTGTGAACGTAACTGATAATAAATTACAATATAATTTCAAAATAAGTGTCATTTTAAAATTTTCATTCAGAATCAATTTAACTACAATGTAATTCCATAAAATAATAATTTTGATAAAATGTTATGAATATTTAAAAATCTATGTGAATAATAAGTACAGTTATAAAACTATATTATTTCATTAACTAAATTGAATTTATTTTTGTATAAACTATCTAAATAAAAAAATTAAGTAGTTGAGTAATTTATTAAACTATAAATAATTGATTATTCTATTTACATCCAAGTTAATACTAACCCGTAAGTTATTAAGAATAACTTATTTGACTTTTAAATTTGGAAATTAAATTTAGACTACACAATAAATTCTTTATACATATTATCTCTCAATTTCTTAAATTTTTTTTTGGTTACCTTATTGTTCAAATTTATCAACTAATTCTCTAAAATTAAATTACAAATTTTAAATTTTATTAACTAATATTTGTTCAAAAATCTTTCTGATATTCAAAAGGAATACAGATCAATTTGAAAAATTATCATCAAAATCGTGCTGGTTGATTATTTTTAAGGGAAATGATGTACATATTGTATTATTTAAACCGTAAAGTTGTGAATTATTTGTAGAATAAATCAATTTGTAGTATATGAAATCCTCAATTTTTGGAATTAATCAATTCGTAGCTTTTGA